GTGGAAGGCTAGCACCCAAATAGCCTACCTTGATAAAGCTGTGTTGCTTTTCTTTTCGGCCGAATCGATAATGTAGTGTTAGGACGCTCGTCCTTACATCTTAGATCGTTCTTTTTAGAATTAGGATGTTGCAAATGAAATGTACTTCATGAAGCCAATGCGTTTATATGAGGGGGAATATAAGGAAGGGAACGGATGGAAAAATGGAATCTCTTCCCTTCCTTTTTTAATAATTGCCAAACTGCTTTTGAATTTCTTTCTTTATAAATGAAATTCGTTGGAGAACAAGTGAATGATCTTTTTTCTTTTCTTATCCTAATTATATAATAAATAATAATTTATTTTATCTACTTATTTTATAATTTAAATTTAAATTTTTTTATTTTTATTAAAAAATATTGCTGTTGAATTATTCAAATAGTTACCAACCAAGGAAAGATGGTAGACATAATATAAAGAAAAATGATTTTTTAAAAATATATTTTATTAATAAATATATATATTTTTAAAAATATCTACTAACATCAATCCTTACATGGTGACATATCAACCCTACCTAAGGGCACATCACATCGTGATTTGCAATCTATCTTATGCCGGGCACTTCAATAATCGAGGGACCCATACCCCTTGATTGGAGTGCTCGTGCATGGCCGTGGCCCCTTTGTAGCTCCATTGACCAAGGAACTAATGTTTTGCATTCTTCGCATGATTGGATTGCAAAACATTTTTTCCATGAATGTAATTTAGGAATTTATGTATATATTGTATGATACTAATTGAGTGCTTACTGTACACATTATAGTTTTTAATTGGCCTATGTCTTATGTGAAATAGATATACTAAATAAAACTTTTCAACTCAATTTGATTTTAAAAAAACTCTCACAAAATATTTAATAAAATTATGTACTTATAAAATTATAAATTTCTAACCAATAAGTTATCTTAACCACAACTTATGTAACTAGAAAGTTATTCTAAATAGAGTTATTGTGCTAGCTTAATCATCAAGGCAGAATAAAAAACAAAATACAAAAGATAAAGAACTCACATCATCTCAAGTTGTATTAGTATAGACCACTAAGTCGTGTCATTTGCAAAAGCTTAGAAGATGCTGCCCACTTTCTTTTTTTGTCTTATGCACATGTGTCAAACTCATATAGGATGTCACATCTGTCATATGTATTATTTTGATAAATAAAAAACTTTTGACATACGAAATTTGATAGGTTTACTCGATACGAGATAAATTAAGAAAAAGATTAAAAAAGCCTCCTCACTTCAAAAAGGTAATTCCTTTTGAGTCCTTCTCTCTTAGCCTTCTTCCTCCCTTTCATCTTCGACGAATCTTTGCCTAATTAAAGCATCAGATGATGCATGCCAAAGAAATCTTTGGCACCCACCCCAACGAGTTTTTCCTTTTTCGATCACCTGCGTTAGGTGCTTGAAAATCTCTTCCAGCTAGTCCAGGTAACAAAATCAAGAATATCAATATACATCAAATAATAAATTATACAATAAAAAACAATTTTTTCATTGATAATCCTTTCTCATTAATCCAAAGATTCAAATTTGAAACTTCTAACTAGAAGTTCAAATTCTTAATTGTATAAACATCTCTTAAAGACATTTCATGTACCACTTAAATAAATCTTTTTTACTATCTCCATCTTAAAATAATAGATGTTTTTTGCTTTTATTTTGGGATGAAGGATTTGAAGATAATTTTTATTTTTACCTATTTTACACTTTAAAATAAAAATAAAAATAAAGAGATTTTTTTTAATATATGATGGATAATTAAAACTAAGTGATAATCATAAAGTTTAATAAAAAAATAATTATCTTCCTCAAAATTTGAAAAAAATGATTATTATTTTATGACATATCTTAAAACACTAACTATTCTAAGATAAATAGAGTAAATAAACAAATACAATTTAGGAAAATATTTCCGAAATAAATAGGAGTATAACTTTTTTTTATCACTCTTTTGACATTGGGTGGGCATAATATGCTTGGCAACCAATTCCATTCTTGTACTCACCCCCACATGCCTTCAACTTAAACACAAAACTTCTTATTAGAACTGTAGATCTCACCTAAGAGCCTTTAGTTTCTCATGTCCCAGACACAATACTTGAGGAAGCTACATAAAAAAACAACTCGGATTTCAGTTTTGGAAAGTTAATTTTTGGACACAAAAATCAATTAAAAAAAGTAGTTTATTATATTTGTTTTGTAATTGGTTATAAATGCTTTAAAAGCAGTCTGATTAATTAAAATGAAAAATAGTCTGATTACAGATCTAGAAAGGAAACTTTTTGAAAATTTTACCAGGAAGTGCTTATCCTAAAATATAATTGCCTCTATTCATTTATAATTAATTATTATTATTAAAAATAATCACTTTTATTTCTTTTATAATTATTTAGTTTTTATCTTGATTTTTGAGCTGAAAGTTTATTTTTCAAGTTTAAACCAACTAAAACGAGATATCAGCTTCTCCGTATAATATTATTTTTGAGACATGAGTAATAAAAAATGTCCTAAATTTACACGCACTTATCCAAAGTAGCAGCTAGGCCAACAGATCATTATTGTTGGAAAAATAAGAGATTAGCCTTTGGCATACCTTAGCCCCAAAAAAACAAAACCACCGAAGAGATAAATTAAGGGAAAAAAAAAAAAGGAAAAAAGAAAAAGGTCCAAAGTCGGTGAGGGAGGCATGTTCTTTGCTTGTTGGAAGTGCTGGAAAACATTATCAGTACATAGATTGATTGATTAAATTCAGAAAGAAAAAAAAAATCAAAAGAATTAGTGAAACTGCTTTTTTTTTTTTTTTTTTTTCCATTTTACGAAGGTTACTTTCAGAGTAATTAAGTATCCTTTCTTTTGTCCAAAATAATTGATTTCTAGGACACTAGCAAAGGTGGAGTGGATGACGCAAGGACTGAAAGCATGCAAGATGGGAGATCCGTGTGCGCCCTGACTCAAAAGGAGCACCGAGCTTCTTAAGAGTTAAGAATGCTTACCGGCCGTTATAAAAGAGCGCGTTTCCGTTTGTCACCTCTTCCTCATGTTAACCACACCCGCCCTCACAACGCAATCTCCCCACCCATTCCTGCATTAAACTGTGACTCAAAAGGAGCAACGATGGTTACGTACCGTGTAATCTTCTTTCTTTGATACCATCTTTAGCAATCCTTGGTGAAGCAAAATTATTTTATTCTAGTTGTGTACTGTGTAGGATTACTTTTGAAGCACTAGCCTATTTATTGGTTTTTTTTTTTTATAAAACATTGTTTTCTTGTTTCCCTGACAAAAATATGAATATGTTGCTATGATGATTTCTTGACTTAATGAAAGTCTTCTTAGATTCTTAATCATCCATTGACTTATCATGTCGATGATGCGGTTACCTGAGCAACATGATTTATTGTTGGAAAAGTTATTTGCACCCGTACGTCTAATAATCTTTCTTTGATACTTTTAGTATTCTTTTGTAAATTTGCCAGTCTTTAAAATTTTTTTGCCCGCTATACATGATATTGATTACTTGCTTATTAATTAATTGTAGCTTAACACTAAAGCTGCTTGTTCAATCTCTTGTATGGGAGGCGCTCTGGTTGCTCTATGGTTAGCATCAGCTGTTGCTGCTGCAATTGAATCTATTCCATTGGTACGTGTTACAGTATACACATCTTCTGAGCTGTGGACAATATTTATGTTCTTCATCTGACAATTACTGTCCATGCAGTTCCCTAAGCTAATGCAAGTTGTTGGTCTTGGATACACAGTCTGGTTCAGCTCCCGCCATCTGTTATTCAAGGTAGCTGTTTGGGCTTTTAGTTACTGGGATGTAAAACGAAATCTGATTCAACTACCAATCTGCTCGGTTGGGATGTATTCAGAATAATACTGACTTTTTTTTAATTTTGTGTCCTGCAGGAAAACAGGGATGAGTTGGCTGCTAAAATTAAAGAGCTCAAGCGGCAGGTTCTTGGATTAAATGATGATGGTAAAGCACCTGACCCTTCGGGTCAACTGGTACTCTGTCAGCTTGAGCTGCATTCTCCCTCTTTTGTGGGCGGGCTTCGAGTCCATCCCTTGACAATTTATTCCAAAAAATAATAAAAAAAAAAAAAAGAAAAGATGATGGTAAAAAGGCAACAGCTCAAAATGGAACCTTGCACAATTAATGCAAAGAACAAAATGGAAAGAATAAAAGTGAGGCAAGGACAGTAGAAATCTGATGCATTTGGAAAAACTCAAATTGAGGAAAATTAGCAGTTAAATAGCCATTGGAGATTTTTGTCCTGTAAGAAATTAATGCACTTATTTTGTGAATTTTTACAATTATTTTCATTACTCAAATCAAGTTATGATGTAATTTGAAAATATATTATAAATAACAGAAACTCTCTTTCTCTCATCTGGAGAGAGAAATTTTATATTCAAATTCTTCTTTATGGTATTAGAGCGGGGAAAAGTAGAGTTTCTCCTAGCTTTACTCCAAATCCTACAATGGCTCCTTCACAAACCAATACTTATCCGTATCCTTCAACACTTAACGTGGCCAACTTTGTCTCCTTAAAATTGACTCCTAACAATTATTTGTTCTGGAGAACTCAAATGGCAGCACTCATTGAAAGCCAAGACATGCAAGGTTTTTTAGGTGATGAATACAACATGCCAGCAATGACTATTAAGGTTCCTGATGGCACTGATGCCATGGGATCCAAGGAGGTTTCAAATCCAGCCTATATTTCACAGACAGTCTGATCGTCTTCTTCACGGATTGATTACTGACACTCTCTTTGAAGTTTGAAGAAGTGCTTGGAATTGTTATCGGACTTACAACAGCCCATAACGTTTGGAATGCTTTGGAAGAAGCATACGCCCAAGACTCCCAAGAAAGGGAGTTCAATTTGAATCAAGCAGTGACCTTACAACGCAAAGGTGATGATTCATTGGGTGAGTATTTAAGAAAACTCAAATACATTCGTGATGAACTTGCTACCATGGGAAAAATTGTCCCAGACAAAACAAAATTTTTTCTATTATTACAAAGCCTTGGTCATGGCTATGAAAATTTTTTCTCGGATGTGGATTGGGCTGGATGTCCCCTCACTTGTCGCTCCACCTTCGGCTATTGCACCTTTTTTGGAAGCACTTGTATCTCCTGGTGTGCCAAGAAACAACCCATAGTGGCTCATTCAAGTGCTGAAGCAGAGTACCGATCAATGGCATCCACAGCAGCTGAAATTACCTAAGATTGCATGCCTTCTCCGAGACGTATGAGTACCACTTTATAAAACTCCTATTCTTCACTGTGATAACTTGAGTGCACTTCATATGACTGTAAATCCAGTGTTTCACGGGCGCACCGAATATATTGAAATTGATTATCACTTAGTGAGGGAGAAAATTGCTCTTGGTCATCTTGTTACTAGATTCGTTTTCTTTTTTTTTTTTTTGCACAGCCAAAGGAATTTATTTGATGGAGTACAAGGGGTACTCCTGCCTTTAGTACAAAAGAAACAGTCCCTGAGCATCCACTAACTTCAGCTAACTTAAACTCACGAGAACATAAACCAGCAAACAAAATGGCCAAAGTCAACTAACTGCTCAGTGACAGCATCAGGAAACATAAGGAAACATCACAAAACTTCATAATAAGGCTAATTGTGTACCTCTTTTATCTTTGAGGCTTAAGACTGGTTCCAGCATCCAATCGTGCAAACAGAAAGAATATCTCGTTGTCCTTCCCTTAATCCAACTGAAAGCTCTTAGTTGTACAAACTCAAAAATTCTGTCTGCATCATACTCATGATTTCTGAAAATCTTTGCATTCCTTGCTATCCACAGGAACCATATAGTGGAGAAGCATACCACATCCCACCCATCTCTCACTGAAGGGTCTTTAACAAGGGGTTTGTGTTGTTCAAAATCATCATAGCAAGTCTTCGGTTGGACTGAAAGAAAACTCCACCATTGTGCACATTTGCTCCTTACCAAAAAAGCAACTTTACAGTGAAGAAAAAGATGGTTGGCATCTTCAATGTTATCTCCGCACATTCCACACATAATTTGGCTAGGATCAATCATGATTCCCCTCTTATAGACTAAGCTTTGTAGGGATCCTATCCTGCATTACTTGCCAACCAAATGCACTAATTTTTGTGGGGATAAGTTTGCTTCAAGTCCTTTCATGCACCCGAGTTATATTATCACAGTTGTTACTAAAAAGAAGAGCATATGCTGATTTGATAGAGTACTCTCCCTCTTTAGTATACCTCCACATCCAACAGTCTTTTCGGTCTCGGATTGGGTGTATATTCTTGAGCATTCTTTGCATCTCAGAATAGTTATCTTCTTCCCACTCACACAGTGGTCGTCTCCAGTGTAGTGTCCGTTGCCAATTCTCTTCCTTCCATATAACCATTTGGGAGATCTTCTTTTCTTTGTCTGTTGAAACAAGAAACAGTGTAGGAAAACAGTTAGCAAGGGGTTGATCCCCTATCCATGCATCCTTCCAAAAGTTAACATAATTCCCTTCATCTAGTTTCAATTTAAATCCCCCTAATAGCCATCCCTCGATATTTGCATCAATGTGGTCTATCTTACATATATTTCTCCACCATAAAGACCCCCTTTGGCCATACTCTTGTACCTAATCTGTCCACCTACCCTCTATACACCCATACTTATGATTGATCATTTTGTACAATAGCCTTTCTTCCCCGCTTGCAAGTCTACTCCACCACTTTCCCAACAATGCTAGATTGAATTTTCTAAGGTCTACCCCTAGCCCACCCATCAATTTGCTTTTGCAAACTTTATCCCATGAAACCCAATTAATCTTCTTCTTACCTTCCCTTCCTCCCCCCCCCCCAAAGAAAGTTCTTGCAAATTTTATCTAAAGAAAGAATCAAACCTTTTGGTAGTAAGGGCATGGACATGGTAAACACTGGAAGACTGGATAGCACTGCATTGAGGAGAGTAATCCTTCCACCAAAGGAGAGGAGTCGACCTTTCCATGAGCTCAATTTCTTCTCAAATGTCTCGATCAAAGGTTTCCACATAGCAATGCTTTTAACACTACCTCCTATTGGCACCCCCAAATACTTGTAGAGGAATACTCCTTGCTTGTAGTTTAATATGTAGGCCATTTTTGACATCCATTCATCTAATACATTAATTCCCAAAAGTTGGCTTTTCCCAAAATTAATCTTCAAACGCAATACCAACTAGAAGATTCTCATTATACTCTTCGCTGCCCATATGTTGCCCTCCGCAGCCTTATCAAATAGAATTGAGTCATTGGTGAACTGTAAATGAGACACTATCATTCCCCTGTTGCCAATATCGATTCCTTCAAAGAGTCCATGGTTGATTGCTGAAGAGATGATACCATTTAAGCCTTCTACAACTAGTAAAAATAAGTAGGGTGAAAGTAGAGCGCCTTGTCTCAGGCCTTTGTTAATTTTCGCTTGTCTAGTAGTATTGCCATTAAGAAGAACTGACACCTCTGCTGTCTTCAAGCATTCGTTTATCCACCTTCTCCATTTGGGATCGAAACCCATCCTCGACATCATGTAATCCAGGAACTCCCAGCACACCTGATCATATGCCTTCTCGAAGTCCAATTTAAACACAAAGCTGGCCTTCTTGTTTCTCATTGCTACAGCAATTGTTTTGTTGGCAATTACAATGCTATCAACCATTTGTCTTCCTCTAATAAAAGCCATTTGGCTTTCTTCAATGATGCTGTCCAGAACCGAGCTGATTCTATTTGCGAGGAGCTTCGCAATCACCTTGTATATTACTTCGATTAAGGATATGGGCCTGAATTCCTCAATTTTCTGGGGGTTAATAACTTTAGGTATCAGCACAATGAAGGAACTATTTGCTCCTCTAACCAATCTCCCATTTTTGTGAAAGTCATGTACGAAACCCATCATATCACCTTTGATCAAATCCCACATTTCTCTGATAAAATTGAAATTAAAACCATCCGGCCCTAGTGCTTTAGAGCCTTCACAACTCCACATTGCTTGTTTAACTTCTTCTTCGTTGAAAGGGGTGAGTAATAGAGAGTTGTTTCCACCTGAGATCTTCTTGAATTCAATCCCGTCTAGATGAAGGCGTTGCCACCTCTCTTCTGTGAACAAGTTCTCAAAATAGTTAGCCACACCTTCCTTGATTTCGTTAACCTGTTCCATATACTTGTCACCCACCTGTATGCCAACTATTTCATTCTGTCTCCTTTTTCCCTTAACACATCTGTGAAAGAATTTCATGTTGGCATCCCCATCGTTAATCCATGCCTTCTTGGTTTTTTGGCGCCACATGCCCTCTTTTACTTTTTGGTGTTTCCATAATTGCAAAAAGTTATTCCTCTTTGATTGTACATCCTCTTTAGACAAAGGAGTCACTTCGCCTTTTAAGTCAATAGCAACTATGGAGTCCTCACATTTTTTAATGATAGAGTTTGTCTCCGGAACCATGTTTCTACTCCATACTTTCAAAGCTTTCTTCATTTCCTTCAACTTTTCTTTTAATTGGTATCCATGCCAACCTGAGATTGTTGTCGAACTCCACACCTCTTCCACTAGTTTTTTGCACCTTGGTGAATCTAGCCACACGTCAAAGAAATGGAATGGTTTAGGCCCAATCAATTGTAAGATTTTTCATTAAGATTGGGCAATGATCTGACTTCGTTCTCTTCAACCCTCACTATTTAATATCACCCCATTTAAGACACCAATCCTCTAACAGCAAGAACCTATCCAACCTACTCATAACTACTCCATTTGGTTGGTACCATGTATATTTTCAGCCAATTGGAGGAAGATCAATTAAACCGCATTCCTTGATAAACTCATCATACTCTGCCATATCCCTCATGTTAGTTCTCCCTCCATTCCATTCATGCTCATTTCTAATGGCGTTAAAATTGCCCATTAAGCACCAACAACCACTCGCTGCCATCATCAACTCTTTAATGTTGGACCACAAAACTCTTTTACCAGGCATATCACAAGGTGCATATATGTTCAGAATGCATACTGGAATTTTTGAGGTCCCTAGAATCCATAAACACCCACAAAACTCTCGCCTTCAATTATACTATCTCTTCTCAACACATCACTATTCCAAATGCAGATTAACCCTCCAGATGCTCCTCTAGATGGCTTTGCTACCCAATCAAAATTATCTACCCCCTATATGGTTCTACACAACTGATAATCGGCCAATTCTATCTTCGACTCTTGAATAGACAAGAATTCAACTTTCTCTTTCACAACTAACTCTTTGACTCCACTTTTTTTTCCTCCCCCCCCCCAAACCTCTAATATTTATAGATAGAAAAATCATTGTAAATTAGTACCACCATTCCCCTCAACAACAATGTTACTGACCTTTGATAATCTAGTTAGCTCCCTATCACGATCTTCCATGCCCTTTAATCTCTAAATCACCTCTGTTTCATTGCCACGATCTCCCACTCCAATCTCCGTTGCAAATGCCCAAATCCTCTCCGCCATACAAAATGCTGAATCTCTGCGTAGACTTATGTTCCTTTTTTCAATACCGTTGTCAGTGACTGATTCACCTACGACCTAGTTTTGTTACTCGATTCATTGGTTCCACCTCACAAGTAGCACATGTTTTTACGAAGCCATTACCGTGACATGTGTTTCAAGCTTTATGGAGCAAATTAGTGTTAGGAAAAATGGCGCAAAGGAATAAACTAATTCCTGTGAACAAAACATGTGAACAAATAACAAAACAAGTGGCTTAGCTGACCAATGTTAACGGTTAGTGAAAAAGATGGCGTAGCCAGCCAAGCAAAATAAATTGTACGGTTTAACCAGCCATTTAAGAAAAAAATAAAGTAAAATGGGCAGTTTAACTAGGCACTTAAAAGGAAAAATAAATAATAAGACAACATCAAATTTTATATGGAAAAACCCTTAGAAAACTATTGAGGGAAAAAACCATGAGATAAACTCCGAAAGGTATTCCACTATATGATAAAATTGTAGAGAGTATACACTCAAGTATTTTTCTCTCTTGGTGTTTCCCACTCCTTAAGATATGATCACAATTGTAATAAACTCACAATTTTATCACCGAATATACTCTCTCTATGGAGCACACTTACACCTAAGCTTTTAATGCCTAGCTCTCAACTCCCCTTTTTTTCTTTCACCCAGAGCTCTCTTTGGAACTCACTCACTCACTTTTGTATTGCTCTTGCTTCTTGCTTACTTGCCTCTTTGCATGCATGGGTATTT